CCTGCCCTCTGCCCAGTTTCTGAGAAAATGTGCAACAGAGGATGTTGAATCACAACAGGCTGATTCCCTTTAATGGCCTGGCGAGGATGGACATTGGGGGACTGCACAGAGGGCTCTGGGAGCAATGCCCCTTGTTCTTCCTCCTGTTTTGGTTTAAATAAAAGTGAATGAACTTCTGCTTGTCTCATCACTGGAAGTAAATGTATCTGTTGATCTCATTTGGTTAGGAAACAGTTAAAACACCCAGCTGCTTCTAGGAGCTTTAAACAAAAATTGAAACACCACTTTTCTCAAAACAGTTCAAATATGGTCAACCTTGTGGCTTCAGCAAAAGTAGCAATGTGTGAGTTCTTATGAACTTTGGCTAACCTCTGAGATTTATTGATAAATGAAAAAATAAGGGACTAGGCTCTGAAACCTTCCCTTGCTTACGCACTAGTTTCAGTATATTACCGAGAAATCCAGGGCTGGGTTCAGGATGTTTACTGCTTTTAGAGAGAACACAAAACAGTCTGAAAAACTAATGTAGAGAGAAACCTGTGATTTTTGTTCAGACTGCCAGCACAGTGCATTCAGCAGTGTCTGTGCATTCAACAGACGTAACGTGGAGCATGTTACCCTGCTTAGATAAGCTGCACAGGTATTGATGGGGGTTCTCATGAGCACACCTGTCCTCTGAAAGCTTCAGCCCTCTTAGCATGGAGTCCTGCAGTAGCACACTCACTTGTTGGGGTGGTGGTGCCGAGTTCAGTAGCATGCCAGTGTGCAACCACTGCTGACAGGGACTCCTGGGGTGTGGGTGAGCTCTTGGGTGGCTTTACTTATGCCCTCTTCTTTCCTAACAGAACAGACAGTGATGTTCTGGGGAGGAGAAGGAATAAAATTTAGGATGTCTCCAGCATTCTCTGATTACTTTGCCTTCACTCACTGAACCTTCCCTTTGGCAATATTTAAAGGAAAGGTTTTATTTGTGTGTTGAGATGATGTCAGAGGTAAGGAGAAATGATGGTGTGTTCTGTCTTAATTCTGCCACATTGTTGCATACATTAGCAGGTGCAGAGATGATTAAACCTTTGGGAAAATGCACAGCTATAATCAAAACAAATCTGCCAAGATGGCAGTAAAATTAGTATCTCATGATGAAAATGTTTTTATATAGGTATGTAGATGTAAATAACTATTTAGCTACATTCTGAAAGATACTTTTTTGGTTTAATACACACTTTTAAACTTAACCCTCTTAGATAATTGATGAAATGCAGATCTAACTATATAGGTGTGTTTACACATTTTCATGAGGTGTGAACCTACAGCCTTCTGCATTATCCTGCACAAACTTGTGTGGTGGGAGCAGATGAGGTCCTGCAGTTTAATACAGTCAAGAAATGTGGAAGACTCTTTTCAAAAGATGTGATAACAGTGGTTGAAAATAAATTGTTTTGAGTTGGGAATTAAGCCAACAGGAATGAGTTTTTATTGCTCCTTACCTTTCAATCTCTTGAGAAGGGTTTGGATTCCCTGGTGAATTGACCCACTCTATTTTGTTCCAGGATAGATGATATAAAAGAACATAACGGTGTGATGTGCATGTAGTTAATAGAATTTACTTCAGCATAAAAAGTGGGTTACCTAGTCAGAGAGTATTTATTGCAGGTGAGCCTGTGCAGAGGGACAGCTGGATGTGAGCCTGTGCATTTCCCTTAGCCTAGTAGCAACTTTGCATGGTGTGAGGAAGGCAGGACACTGAGACAAGGCACTGGGTGTGATCCTGCTCTCTCTGCAGAAACCAAGCCCCTCTTGTTCAGCAGTCAGCCTAGCAGCAGACACAGGAGCTTTTGGGAATGCACCAGCAGGAGCAAGTTATGTCTCTCGCTTAACAGGGACACATTTCTTGTGCAAAAGTGAATTATGACCAACAGAACAAAAGAAACTGTTTTCTTTCCCTTAAATGCTAATTTTTCCAAACCTTTTTTGGGGGATTTGGTATTCTCATTTTAATGGTAAAAGTGAGTGAGAGCAAGAGGTTTGCATACAGTGAAAATAACTCCAGCTGCAAAATAACAGATGTCTGTTATACAGAAGGACAATTTGACCAGGTATCATGCTTTGAAATCAAAACTGAATGCCAAGCCATTATTCTTACGAAATTTCAGTGTCAAGTGCAATGCTAGCCTAGTATTGATTTATATTTTCAGTAAAGAAGCACATCTCCATGCTTCTCTGTAATTATGAAAATCAGTGTTGATTCTTGTCATCATCCTTTGCAGGAGGTACAGCAGCCCAGGAGAGACTTGCTGTTTTGATGGGTTGGTCTCTTGCTATGTGTGGTAGCTGGAGACATGGAATTCTCGGCATACTTGACTCCAGACAAACTCTGGAGTTAAATCAGGGTGCCAGCCTGTCTAGCATGGCTGTGTTTTGTGGAAGGGCCTCTCTTACTGTATTGCCAAGACATTGAATGCCTGGAAACATTTGCAAACAATGGCCTCCAACAAAGGAGCTGTGGCTGTGCAGAGGAAGCTGGCTAACAGGGATTGACGTCAGCTGGGATGGATGGTGACCAAACACCAGCATCTGTCAGGCCAGCACTCATCACTGCCCATCTGCACCCAGCCACGGTGCTGAGTCCCCTGGGCCTGGCGAGGGTGTGTCACGTTTGTTTTCCTCCTGAGGTCTGTGATAATATATAAATCCTAATGTTCTAGTTTAGGAGAAAAAGCTTAGCAGCCCCAGGAGTGCTTCCATGGAAAGAGGGCACTTCTAAATCAGCAGGATTTAGTTTTCTGTAAAAGAGAACATGACTGTGACATATTGCCTGAGAATGAGGAATCATTTTTCTTTGATACAAAATTGCTTAGTCTTAGAAATAACACTCGTATGCAATTTTGTGCAGATAGGACCTGGGTTTTAAAATGACATCAACCTAGCTTTTAATTTTGCAGGTGTAAATTGCACCTGCAAATCATTTTGACTGCAAACTGCAGCGTTTTATATTTGATTTTCTGATTTCTTATGGCTTCCTTAACTGATGTGACTTATTTATTTCAGTGTGCAGCATGCAGGCACTACTATTTCAGGAACAAAATTGTAGCCTCAAAGCTTCAAACCTATTTTTGAACATTTGGTGGAAGTGAGGACTTAGGACAAACCACTGTCCATAGAAATCTTCTGATGCTGTCTTGCAGTGTGAGATTAGTGTTGGTTATCATGGCAAAGCACTGCATCTGTGGCATCTGTTGAGCAACTTGATCTATCCAAGCCAAGAAACTGTAATTCACAGCAAGATTTCTGGTTGTGTTTCTAATACATATTCTTGTGAATCCCATTTCGTGATTCTTGGTACCAAGTTTGCTCTTCTAATAGCTGTATTCACTATTGCCTCCCACTTCCACCTTTGTTTTCAAACACTAGCTACTTACCTAGTCTAAAATTAGCAGTTATCTGTTGCTTAATAATGATTGTGGGGTGTGGGCACTTCACTAAAGAGGTGTGTGTTGGTATGTAGGCACATGCAGTCCAAGCCCTGGGAGAATTCCTTCCTATCACCACAGATTACATTATAAGTACAAAGCCTCTGCATGCTTTTTGGGAGGTAGCTGATACATGGTTTACTCTTTACCCTAAAGTGAACCAGAACAGGTGGGGTGGGGAGGAGGGACAGTCCAGCTACCCAGCACATTGCTTCCCCAGCAAGTGTCGGGCTGGGATTGCAAGAGATGATTGTTCTGATTAGGTCACCCTGGCCTGTGCTGAGATTTCCTAGAAGAGGAGGCTTGAGGAGCAGCAACACCTGTTGAGCAGGAGTTGGATGGATACTCATGCCACAGTGAGCTCTGAGAGCAGAGATCTCCCAGCATTGCTGCTTGCTCTGTGCTAAAAGGGGAAATTCAACTCTGCAGAGGTTAACTGTAGAGCATGGTGTGGGTATGAGTCTGATAACACATCACCAAACTTCACACTGGTAGTTTAGTATCACTGAAAGGTTGTTGATACATGGTGGCAAGCAAGTGCTCAAGCCCTGTTGTTACTTGCCTGATCTGTTGCTGCATACATAGTGTGTGTGCCTGTTTTACTGAGTCTTCTGTTCTTTTCACAGGGTCGCCATGTTAAGACAGGGCAGCTAGCAGCTATCAAAGTGATGAATGTTACTGAGGTGAGTGCAAAACAACAAAAACAAAGCTGTTATCAAGGTGCAAAGGAAAAAAAAAATTGGATCACAAGAAGGTGGATAACTTATGAAAGACAATCCAGTGGTATAAATTGTTGTTGCTGAGCAGTGGTTTGTGTTTTGTAAAGTACTGAAATCTGTTAAAACAGCCAGATTTTTCAGTGGTACCTGACCAGTGGTGACAAAACAATAAGGGAAGGCATTGCCATATGTTTTGATGGTCTAGAATAACAAAGAGGAGAGTTCTCTTCCTGCTTATTTCTAGTTGATTATCTGTTTCCAGAGATAGCAAAGAAAAGATTTCCTGTAGCTCTGTGCTGCCCCTGCTGTGTTTCATCACACCCTCTCCCTCGCGTGCCAGCCATTCCTCAGTAGCTGCCCTGACAGCTAGCAGGCAGCAACATGTTAGAAATGCAAATGTAGCACTTTCTTATTGTTATTTGACAGATGAGAGAAGGAGACAGTTTAATTGGCACTGTCCCTGCTGACATTTATAAAGTGGTGTCAGTGCTGGAACAGGGTGTCAAAGTTGCAAGTTGTAGTAGCTGTGTAGCAGCTCTGCCAGTAGCAGAGCAGGTTGTCTCCTTGAGACTGTATTAGCCTGAGCCCCAGGAACTTTGGGAAGACTACCTGCTTCCTCTTCCTGAGTTCATTGGAAGTCCATGGTTTGGCAGGATGCACCTAGTCTCATTGAAGCCCATCTCCTCATTATGCCACTCTGGCAGTGTAGATACAGAGTGCAAAACTCCAAGATAAAGTCCTCTTGTGGTGCTGTGGGAGGGTGATTGCCTGAAGTAAAAACCAGGGCCAAGTCCTCTAGGCTGAATCTGCCAGTGGTACATCCACGTGTGGTGTTTTGGGCAAGCATGAGCAAGCCCTGCCTGCATCTTCATGTGTCTTTTGATTGTCTTGGAAAACAGCAGAACAAGTTGGTGTCTGCATGGGCCTTGTCACGTAGAGCAGGTCCAGGACAGTTCTCTCTGCTGATGGTGTAGGAATCCAGCCCTGAGCAGCAAGTGGTCTGAATTGCATGTTTTTTTTGAACTTAGATGCTGCTGTAATTCTTCATAAAACGTATCTGAGGGCTGGTTTGGCTATTGCTGCTGCCTTGTAAAATATGTATACGTAGTTGAATTGCCAGTTGTGCTCTTCTCTGTACACAGAAGAGGATGCATTTTTTAAATGAGAGCTACATCAGATTGGTGAGATTTTTGCATTTAGCTCTATAGAGACATATGTAATCACTGGCTTTAAAAAATGACAGCTACCAAACACAAGGCTGCTGGATTTCAGAAGAGAGGGAGTAGGATTTGGGTTGCAGACAGTGCTGGGATCAGAGCACCTCGGTGCTTTGACAGGGGAGCTGACAGGACAGGTCCTGGCAGGATTCAGAAGTGACCCAGAGCTTCTGTACAGGCTGCTTTCATGCTGTGCTGGGTCTGTCAGCAGTGCGTGAGGGCTGGCCGAAGGTGTCACTTGTGGGCCATTTATGTTAGCACCAGTGACAGTCCCTTCCTTGATCAAACAATTGAAGCAAAAACTGCAGGAAGGGAACCTTGGAAAGATTTCCTTCCCTTTGCTATACATAACACAGACTCCTTTGTATGTGAGCGACTAACTGTAGCATCCAGTAATGCCTGCTTGCTTGGAAACAAAATTTAAATGTAGGACAACCTTGTGGTCCAGCTTCAGGAATTCACATTGATACAGTTGCATGATGCTGGGAACAAAAACAGCTGTTTAGGTTTGATTTGCTGCTTCCTGGCAGACTACAGACCCAGCATCATACTGGGGAACCTGTCCCATTGCTTGAGGGGCAATGATAAAAGGTCATGCTCTTTTCACGTTGAGTCACATAACATGGAAGTAGTTATGATGTTTTGAGAGTTGGGTGGTGAACATGTTGGTGCAGCCACCTGGGGGGGAGTTTCCCTGGTGCTCTTCCCCCGCTAAACCCTGAACAGATCCAGTTCAGCTGTACTTGAGTATTTCTGCTTTCTGGCCTTGGTGCAGGGTGTGTGCAAGGCTTCCTGCTGTTAGTTCCACTGCCACAGTACGAGACAGACCTGGCTGCAGCTCTCTGTGTTATTCCTGGTTTCCTCCAGGCCCTCAGCTGTGCCCCAGCAAGATGTTGGGAGTGATTTAGGGCATTGCTGCCACTAGCTGCTCGTTCTTCTTGCAGGTGACTGCACTGCCCTGTCCTCTCCTCAGCCACCACACCTCGCAGCTGGGGTTTGCAGTGCTGTGGCAGAGCTGTGCAGCACAGGGTGGGGCTGGAAGCTGTGGTCCTGAGCCCTTCATACACCTCAGTGCAAACACCCACAGCACTCAGGGTGAGCCACAGGGCTGTAGGGAGTGGGGTTACTGCTGGCCTCCTGAGCTGATCCATCTGGCCAGGGACTGTGCTGCTGGTCTCTTGTAGCACAGAGTAGATGGGTTGGTTGAAGTCAGTGTGTTCCTGCTTTGCAGTTGCAGTAGGTGGGAGCACAGATAGCACTGAGGCTCATACTGTGCATGTTCAGGGCATATCTGAAGCTCAGTTCTCCTGCAATAGCAATACCTTTTTTCTGTTTCATAGTATTTGGTTACTGAAGCCTCTCACAGCAGTGGTGGGTCCTAACTGTAATGCAGAAATCCTTTCAGTCTCCAGAATTTCTGTGTCATAAATTCAGAGCCTGTCAAGGATTCAGTATTTCTCTTGCATTGTTAGTCTGCTCAGGTTTAAATTATTTTCTGATCCTTTGGGCTTGAAAAGCTAGCTTGAGGCATTAAATAAAGTCTTTAAAATATTTAAATCCTCATCTCCAATGTCCTGCCTATGAATTGCACCTGAGAGCAACATCTCACATGGAGTTTGGCTTGTGAGTAATGGAAGCTGTCATAGCAAACCTGCTTGACTGAGACAGGAGGCTCCTAGCCCTTGTGGCTGTTTTCATCTTTGGGTGGTTATATGATCTGATTAGTGCTGCACAGGGAACAGTTTTCTTAGGGAGTGAAATTTCATGTGCTAGAAAACAGGAAGATTGAAAAAAAAAAATAATTTGTGACAAATACAGTCTTTTTCTTTTCACCTGCCTTAAAAAAAAATTTACAAAAAATTAAAAAAAAGTTGAGAAGAGCTGAATGTCTGGATTGGCCTTGTGATTAATGTACCAGCTGGTTCAATTCTCCAGTAGATCTCATTCAAGGTGGGGCAATCCCAGTGGCTGAGTCTGGCAGTTGGTGGTGGTTTGGTTACTAATCTGCTCAGTAATAGGACAGTGTTGTCTGACTTGGGAGACAGTAGGACTGAACAAGGATATCCCATATCCTAGGGGTTTGAGCTTCTTCCTTGCTATTGCATGTTCTGCAGTGGGTTTCACTCCCCCAACATCGTGTGTTCAACACTAGAAAATCCAACCTAAGAAGTCTCTCAGCTAATGTCTCATCATAACCAGTACATTTCTGACAAAAGATTCTGTTTCACCACATCTACAGGGGTTTTTTTCTGGCAGGAAATAATTTCATGAAAAATTTCCTGACCAGCTCCAGCTGTGATTGTTCAGCTCTAAGATCTGGGGCACACCAAGAGCTAAGCAAGCCTGTCCTTTGCTGTCATGAGCTGCAGCCCGAGGCCAGTTTCTTAAGAGCAGCAGCAGGATGCTGTGGTCATTGTGGGATCCTCTGGACATCTGTCAGGAAGTGCTGCTGTGTCACGTTGTGGGGGGAGCCCTTTGAAATGGTAGGAAGGAGTTGATAGCAGCGTGTCCTCATGCCCATCTTTGCACGCTCTGCTTCCTCTCGTCTGAGGGTGCCAAGCAAGCAGAGTGATTGCAAAGAGATGGGATTCTTGCAGCTTTTCTTTTCAGCTACCAGTGCAGGTGATCAAAGAGCTCTTCTGCAGCAGGTCATTCCCTGTCTGCCCTTGCTTTCAGTCTTTCCAGTTAGCAAAACAATGTTTAAATGAGAAAATTGTCATTAGAACTGCTCTAATACTAAGAGGTCTTTTGGTGAAGGATTTATCAGCTGGTGATCTTGTTTCCATTTGAGGTCAGAGGTGTGTGCTTTCAGGTTCTTTGCTTCCTAATATCACTGCAGATAGGCCCACATCTTCAAAAATAGTCTTTGATCATGAACCTGTCATCTTTGTACACACAGCCATCTGTGCTCAGAAATGCATTGGTTTGTGAAATCAAACATCTTTTTGCACCTGCACATCTGTGAGCTTGTTTCCCTTTCTTAAGCAGCATGATTAATGAGCAGGTTTCTAGACCCCTGGGAGTTATGGCTGATGCTAACACTGACAAGAGGAGTGGTGGAAAGTGGAAATCTTGAGCATGTGCATGTCATGAAAAGCTGAGGGTGGTATTGTCCCCAGACTTAGCAAATGCAAGTTCATTTCCTGGCTGGGCCTCAGGCATGACCCATGGGACAGAATCAGTCACGTTTACTCTTCTGTCTTTGTTTCCTCATATAAAATAGAGTAATTTTTCCAAAATTCTCACAAGCACTGGGAAGACAAAGTACTTTTTGTTTGTGAAATGCCCACCTGCTGTCCCCTATAGCCCTTACGGACTGACTGATAGTTGAAGCCAGATCTGACTTTGGAGGATGAAGGAGTTTGGCTCAGAGGGTTTCTGCTCAGTAATGGTGGGACTCAGCAGAGAAGCCCAGTGTCCAGTCTAAGCAGTGTCTTTCCAAAACACTTATCCTTTACCCGAGCAGTGTACACCAGTGTGTAAGCACAGGTACCTGCCTCTGTGGGCAAGGGAAGGAAAGGCAGGTGCGGGGAGGGAGCAGGTTCCAGCCTTCTGGATAGACAGTTAAGGACATGAGGTAAAGCAGGAGCTGGATCATCTTGCTGGTTCTGGGAAAGGAGCATTGCAGATGTGCAGCTACTCT